CTCCTCCATTTCTTTCTTTTTAAAAAAATAAAAAATATTTTTGCCCTAGCCAGTTTGGCTCACGTGTATAGAGTGTCAACTTGTGGACTGAAGGGTGCCACGTTCGATTCCAGTCAAGGACACATGCCAGGGTTGTGGGCTCAATCCCCAGTAGGGGGCGTGCAGGAGGCAACTGATCAATGATTCTCTCTCATCATTGATGTTTCTATTAAAAATATATTTTTATTGATTTCAGAGAGAAAAGGAGAGGGAGAGAGATAGAAACATCAGTGATGAGAGAATCATTGATCAGTTGCCTCCTGCACGCCCCCTACTGGGGATCGAGTCCACAACCTGGGCATGTGCCCTGACCCAGAATCAAACCTTGACCTCCTGGTTCATAGGTGGATGCCCAACCATTAAGCCACACCGGTCGGACTCCTCCATTTCTTATTTCCATTCTCAGCATAGGGGGCCTTCCTTCTGCCAGCCTCTAGGTCTCCTTCCTTTCTCCAAGGCCCCATCTCTAGTGCTTCAGGAACCCAGGTGCTCAGCCTCCCAGCTCTTACTTGACCCTCACCCCATCCCTTCCACAGCTTTGCTATTCCCTATCCTCCAGCCCGAGAGGCAGCCGACAGAGAGATGCCCTCTCTACCCCGAGCAGGTCCTGAGGGCTCCACCAGACATGCATCCAGCAAACAGGTGCGACCACACACCAGGCCCTCGGGGAAGGCGTTGGTGTGCAAGCGGCTCTGGTCCCATCTGTCTCTGTCTCCCATTTCTACTTCAGAAATACTTGGAGAATTACCTCAACCGCCTCCTGACCATGTCTTTCTACCGCAACTACCATGCCATGGTAAGGTTCAGGGGCTGGCTGCCTGGGTCTTCTTAGGAGGAGCAGGATAATTAGACCCCCCATGGGGCAGAGGACTGCGGCCAGTAGGGCCTGAAAACTAGAGTCTGTCCTCTGAGCCTGTTTCTTCTGCAGACGGAGTTCCTGGAAGTCAGTCAGCTGTCCTTTATCCCAGAGCTTGGATCCAAAGGACTGTAAGTGTCTGACACCCCTCACCCAGGCACCTGTAAAATGCCTGTGTCTGAATCACTGCCTGAGAGTGGGGGATGATGTGAAGGGTGGGCTGGGGGTTTGGGCTCCCCATCCAGCATCTCTTCCTGATTTTTCCCACAGGGAAGGGGTGATCCGGAAGCGCTCCGGTGGCCACCGTGTTCCTGGCTTTACCTGCTGTGGCCGAGACCAAGTTTGCTATCGCTGGTCCAAGAGGTGAGGCCTGGGGTGAAGCAGCTGGGCCTTGGGTCCGGATGAGGAAGGAGGTCCCAGGGGCAGGGAGGAACAGACAGAGCCCTTCTGCTCCAGGTGGCTGGTGGTGAAGGACTCCTTCCTGCTCTACATGTGCCTCGAGACTGGCACCATCTCGTTTGTTCAGCTCTTCGACCCTGGCTTTGGCGTGCAGGTGGGGAAAAGGAGCACAGAGACACGGTATGGAGTCAGGATCGACACCTCCCACAGGTAAGACCTCTCTGGTGTGGACAGACGCCTGGTGAGTCAATAGCCAGCCTAGGGCCCTGAGGGGAGTTCTGTGGAAGAGCCCGTGGAAGAAGGGAAGGCATTTCCATGCCCCTGGAGCTGGCCTTGATTTGGAACCAGGGAACGGTTCTAGCCAGATGCTTGGGATTGCTCTTAGCATCTAGGCCCAGAGAAAGGGGCTGAGTGTAAGCTTGAGGGAGGGACTCTTTTTTTTTTCCTTTTTAAAAATATTTTGTATTGATTTTTTACAGAAAGGAAGGGAGAGGGATAGAGAGTTAGAAACATCCATGAGAGAGAAACATCGATCAGCTGCCTCCTGCACACCCCCTACTGGGGATGTGCCCGAAACCAAGGTACATGCCCTTGACCGGAATCGAACCTGGGACTCTTCAGTCTGCAGGCTGACGCTCTATCACTGAGCCAAACTGGTCAGGGCGAGGGAGGGACTCTTGATGTAAAAGAAATGCACTCCATTCATTCATTTATTCATTTGACAAGCCTGTGTGCCTGACATAATACTAGGTGCCAGGAACCCAACTATGAATAAGGCAGATATATGCCCTGTCCCTATGGAGTCGTGATTTAGGGACTAAGGGAGGAAGTGGGGAAAATAGGATAGCTAAAGTGGGGAGGTTTCCGGGCCAGACCAGAGGTACTGAGGGTGAGGGTTGTGGTCCGTCTCATTGTTCCCGTCCAGGTCCCTGATTCTCAAGTGCAGCAGCTACAGGCAGGCCCGGTGGTGGGGCCAGGAAATCACTGAGCTGGCCCAGGGCCCGGGCAGAGACTTCCTGCAGCTGCACCGGCATGAAAGCTACGCTCCACCCCGGCCTGGGACTTTGGCTCGGTGGTAAGACACTGATGGGCCTGCTGAGCTCTGTGCCTTCTGTGGCCTTCTGGACCCCCTTGGTGTGGAGTCTTTGATTCTCTTTTATCTCCATTAACCCCTTCTGACCTCAGTAACCTCCCCCTTTGACTTCTTGAATCTCTCCAACCCCCTGACCTCTTTAAACACACTGATCTCTCTAATTCTCCTCTGATATTTCTTCTTCTTTTTTTTTTTTAATTCTCACCCGAGGATGTTTTGCCATTGATTTTTAGAGAGAGTGGAAGAGAGAGGGAAAGACAGAGAGAAATATTTATGTGAGAGAAACATATCGATTGGTTGCCTCCTGCACATACCCCGACCAGGGCCTGGGCTGGGGAGGAGCCTGAAACCGAGAGGTACATGCCCTTGACTGGAATCGAACCCGGGACCCTTCAGTCCACAGGCCAACGCTCTATCCACTGAGCCAAACCGGCTAGGGCTCCTCTGATATTTCTTACTCCCAAACTTGGTAATCTCTTCTGATCCCTGAACAATCTGATCTCCTGTGATCTTGTAAACCCCCTTTCACCACACTGACCAGACTTTCTGTTCTCTATGATCTCCTCAAATCTCTCTGATTTATTCATTTTATTTATAAACATTTCCTAAGGTGATTCAGTAGGTGATTCATTCACAAAACAATGGGAGCTCACCATGCTGGTGGTAGATACAGGATAGGAGCGGTGTCTGCCCCAGCGTGGGAATGTCTGGACTGCGCTTCCAGAAGGCAGTAACCCTGAGGTTTGCCTTAGCAAGATAAAGAAAATGGAGGAGGGCTGTCCATGCAGAGAAGCTAGAAATAGCCTGGTGTGTTTGGGAACCACTGGTCTGACTGTTGTTGTGGAGTGAGGAGGAGTGGCCAGAAAGAGCCTGGGAGTCGGCAGCCCCTGACCTGTCCCCGAATACTAAGCTGAGGAGGTTGACTTTTATGATAGGCAGGGGGGCAGTCATGGAAGGATGGAAGGGGTGTTGAGATTTGTTTTTAACTTGAGAATGATAATAGCTAGTACTTATGTAGCCCTTACTATGTGCCAGGAACTGTTTTAAGTGTTTTATATGTATTAACTTACTGAATCTCCACAACAACCCTACAAGGCAGGTATAGTTATCTCCATTTTACAGATGAGAAAACCGAGGCAAGGAGAAGTTAGGTAACTGGCCCAGGGTCACACACCTTGTAAGCAGTGCACCAGGATTCAAATCCAGGCAGGCTAGGTTAAGACCCTGCTGTTAACCATCGTACTAGAATGTTATTAAAAAGTCAAACACGTTGCCCTAGCCAGTTTGGCTCAGTGGATAGAGCATTGGCCCACGGACTGAAAGGTTCCGGGTTCGATTCTGGTCAAGGCCATGTACCTCGGTTCTCTCTCACATTGATGTTTCTCTCACTCTGTCTCTCCCTCTCCCTTCCACTCTCTCTAAAAATCAATGCAAAAAATAAAAAATAAATAAAAATAAAAATCAATGCAACCCTAGCCGGTTTGGTTCAGTGGAGAGAGCGCCGGACTGCAGACTGAAGAGTCCCTGGTTCAATTCCAGTCAAGGGCACATGCCCAGGTTGTGAGCTCGATCTCCAGTGTGGGGCATGCAGGAGACAGCTGACCAATGATTCTCTCCTATCATTGATGTTTCTATCTCTCTCTCCCTCTCCCTTCCTCTCTGAAATCAATAAAATGTATTTTTTTTAAAAAGAAAAAAAAATCAATGGAAAAAAATTTTCGGATGAGGATTTAAAAAAAAATAATAAAAGTCAAACATGTTAACAAAATTAAAGTTCCCACTCATTGCATAATCCTTTATTCCGCCCCCCAGCCCTTACTTCTTCCCTATACATCCTCCCAACAATCCCTTTTTTCACCTCAGAAGTAACCCTGGCAACAGTTTGAAATTTATCCTCCCAGATTTTTTTCTGCATATTTTCATATTCTTATTTGTTACTTTTTGTTTTAATGTAAATGAGATCATGTACTCTCTTCTGTGACATTTTTTCACTTAATACATTTATTAGAGATTAGGTGTTTAGGTTTTTCCCCATGTTTTACTTTCTTTTTAAAATATGTTTTTATTAATTTCAGAGAGCGGAAGGGAGAGGGAGGGAGAGATAGAAACATCAATGATGAGAAAGAGTTATTGATCACACCCCCTACCAGGGATTGAGCCCGCAACCTGGGCATGTGCCCTGACTGGGAATCGAACCGTGATCTCCTGGTTCATAGGTCAATGCTCAACCACTGAGCCACACTGGCCAGGCCCCATTTTTTACATTTTCCCCATTTTTCATTCTGATAAGTAATTCTGCAATGAACATAATCTTTGCACAAGCATTTAATAGGATATATTCCTAGAAATAGAATTGCTATGTGAATTTAATGGTTTTAATGCATATGTACATCTAACATTCAGATAGATACTGCCAAGTTGTCATCTAAAAAGGTTATAACCAATGTATCCATAGTCTATGAGAATACTCACTTCCTCATATGCTAACATTGAGTGTTACCACAGTGATTTTAATTTTTGCCAATTTTGTGAATTAAAAAATGTTATTTCACTTTATACCAGTTTTTTTGCTTACTAGTGAAGTTGAATATCTTTTCTTATAATTGACTAGAGGCCTAGTGCATGACATTTGTGCACTGGGGGCGGGGAGGTCCCTCAGCCTGGCCTGCGCCCTCTCTCGCAGTCTGGGACCCCTTGGGGGATGTCCGGGGCTCTCGCAGTCCGGGACTCCTTGTTCCTTACCACCTGTCTGCAGTGGAGGCGGGAGAGGCTCCCACCCGACACTGCACTCGCCAGCTGTGAGCCCGGCTTCTGGCTGAGGGGCACTTCCCCTGTGGGAGAACACTCACCACTAGAGGGCAGCTCCTGCATTGAGTGTCTGCCCCCTTGTGGTCAGTGCGTGTCGTAGCAACCAGTCATTCTGCTGTTTGGTCGATTTGCATATTAGTCTTTTATTATATAGGATCATTATAATTTCCTCTGTGAACTGTTCTTATTCTTTGTTCACTTTTCAGTTGGTTGATATCCTTTGTTGGAAATCTTTATGTGTGATGTATTAATCTTCACAATCTTTAGTCATTTTCCTTACTTTATTGTCTTTCCTAATTTTTAATTTTTTTTCGCTCATACTGGCAAATTTATCCCACTTTCATATATCTGATACCATCTGACCATTCTGATCACTATTGATCTTTGGACCCTGCTGTCACCTCTGACCCCATGACTATCCTCTGGTCTTCACTCTCCAGAGCTTTCTGACTCCCTGACTCCTTGGCTTGGCCTCCCCCCAGGTTTGTGAATGGGGCAGGTTACTTTGCCGCTGTGGCAGATGCCATCCTGCGAGCTCGAGAGGAGATTTTCATCACAGACTGGTGGTACGTGGGGGAAAAGCCCAAGCAAGAAGGTTTGGGATAGGGCCTATGACAGATCAACTATGGATCCCAGGAGGGAGTGGAAAGGGAGGTGTGGCTGGTTGTCTGGAGGGTTAGATTACCCTCCTCAACCCCTTCCCTGAATCCTAGGTTGAGTCCTGAGATTTACCTGAAGCGTCCAGCCCATTCAGATGACTGGAGATTGGATGTTATGCTCAAGAAAAAGGCGGTGAGGAGAGTGGTCAGGCTGGAGGGGAGGTGTGGTGGGATTGGCTAGAAGGGACAGAAGCATGAAGGAACATAGGAATCCAAGGCTTCAAGGGGAGGAAACATGCCCATCTTGGCTCAGTGTCTGGCAAACATCATCTCCTCCTCCTCTTCCCTAAGAAGAACTGACACCTCCCTCTTCGTGTTCCTCTACCTGGTATAGACTGCCCTCCCAGTGCTCATTGTACTTTATTGTGTTACCTGGGGGTGTTCATGTCTATTTCCCATTGGACTGATTAATATCACTAGTTCCAGTACAAGGCACAATGTCTACCATGTTGGAGGCATCCATAGATGTTGACGGACAGGAGGAAAGCTACATGGATGATGGAGAGTGGGTGGGCAAATAGGTAAAGGATGGAAAGGGAGATATATGGAAGGATTTGAGTTTGGAAAGGTGGATCAATAGGAAGGTGGGTGAATAGTTGGATGAATGATAGACAGTAGATAAGAGGATGAACAAATGGTTGGGAGGATGGATGGATAGTGATAGATAGGTGGGTAGGTATATAGGTGGATGAGTGAGTGAATGCATTGCTCACCCATTGCTAAGTGCTTTGCAAGCATCAAAGCCGGGTAAGTGGCAGAGCATCGAGGTTCTCCAGGCTGGGTAGGGGGACATTCAGGAATCCTGAGCCAGGGGAAGGGTTTGGGAAGGTGGAAAGGGGCCATTCTGAGAGAGGCATTAGGATATGTTACCTTGTGCACCACCAGGAGGAGGGTGTCCGTGTGTCCGTCCTACTGTTTAAGGAAGTGGAGCTGGCCTTGAGCATCAACAGTGGCTATAGCAAGAGGGCTCTGATGCTGCTGCACCCCAACATAAAGGTGACTCACACCTCAGAGACCCTTCCCACATACAGCCCTCCTCACCACCCTTCCCATCCTCTCAACCCTCCCTTTCCTTAATCATCGTATCCTTCTCTTTCCACTTCCCTCCCAACATTACCTCTTGTCTTTCTCTCGCCTAAGCCCACCCTCATGAACTGCTCCATACCTGCTCCAGGTGATGCGTCACCCAGACCATGTGACATTGTGGGCCCATCATGAGAAGCTACTGGTGGTGGACCAAGTTGTGGCCTTCTTGGGAGGGCTGGATCTCGCCTATGGCCGCTGGGATGACCTGCACTACCGACTGACTGACCTTGGAGACGCCTCTGAATCAGCTGCCCCAGAGGTAATCCCCCACGGTCTTCCTGAACACCCCCAAACTCAGCTAACCTAAATCTATACCCCTTCCCAGCTCCAGCCTTTCCCCTCATTTCCACTAACCACTCCCACCCGCCACCCCAAGTCCTCTAGGAAGTGCAGCTGAAGGGGAGGGCTGGGAAGTCAGACTGTCCGTTTCATTCTTACTCTGTGTCTCTGTCCCTGTCTCATACTTTTTCAGTGTTCCTCTCTTCTCTTTGGCCCTGGCTCTGTATGGCCCCATGACCTCTCCTTGCCCATGGCTTGGGTGTGTTCCCCTCACAGCCTCCCACCGCGTGCTCAGACTCTACATCCACCCCAGATTTCTCTCACAACCAACTCTTCTGGCTGGGCAAGGACTACAGCAATCTTATCACTAAGGACTGGGTACAGCTGGACCGGCCTTTTGAAGGTGAGGGTCCCCTCCCCCAAAGTCCCCGAGAGCTGGGAGCAGGGGCAAAAGTCTGGGCTGTGACTGAGAATGGGACAAGCTGGGTCAAGGATAATGCAGCCTTTCCTCTGGTCAGCTGCTCCTCCTCCCTGCCTCACGTGTCCCCAAGGAACCATCCCTGACCTCTCTTCTGGGATCCCCAGATTTCATTGACAGGGCGACCACAGCCCGGATGCCATGGCGGGATGTTGGAGTGGTTGTCCACGGCCCACCTGCCCGAGACCTGGCCCGGCACTTCATCCAGCGTTGGAACTTCACCAAGGTGCTCCCTCCCTCCTGTGGATGCTGGAGGTTGGGAGGGAGCCAGGGGCAGCTTGCCACCTCCCACTGACTCTGCCATCCCTCCCCCTCAGACTACCAAGGCCAAGTACAAGACACCCATGTACCCTTACCTGCTGCCCAAGTCCACCAGCACTGCACACCAGCTCCCCTTCACACTCCCAGGGGGGCAGTGCGCCACCGTGCAGGTGAGGCCGGACTGACTTCAACCTGCCCCCACTCCCCTCCCTTCAGCCCACTCTCCTTGAGCTGAGAGCCCTCCAGACTCCGCCCCTCCTGGGGTCAGGCACCACCTCATATTTGCCATTCCCCCAGGTCTTGCGGTCAGTGGACCGCTGGTCAGCGGGGACTTTGGAGAACTCCATCCTCAATGCCTACCTGCACACCATCAGGGAAAGCCAGCACTTCCTCTACATTGAGGTCTGACTGGGGTGGGTGGGGGGCGGGGGGGGGGGACGGGGGGGGAGGGGTGGGAGGAGAGCGAGTGGAGGGGATGTCCCAGGAGAGAGACTTAGGATGTCAGCAGATCGGTGCTGATGGGCTGGTATAGCTGGGCCTGGGGGAAAACGGGCGCCTAGGGCTGAGGCCTGGAGCCTGGAGATGGGGATGGCAGCCGGGAGCTGGGGGCAGGGCAGGGGCTTGGCTGCTGATATCTCTTTGGTCCCTGCCCCAGAATCAGTTCTTCATTAGCTGCTCAGATGGACGGACGGTTCTGAACAAGGTGGGCGATGAGATTGTGGACAGAATCCTGAAGGCCCACAAGTAAGGTGGACTGGCAGGTGGGGGGAACTGAGGGCGTGGTGTAAGCCCAACTGGAGGGGCGGGGCTTTGGGGAGAAATCACACCTCTGACTCTCCCCCTTCCCAGGCAAGGGCAATGCTTCCGAGTCTACGTGCTTCTGCCCCTGCTTCCCGGTTTTGAGGGTGACATCTCCACAGGTGGTGGGAACTCCATCCAGGCCATTCTGCACTTCACTTACAGGTGCCCTTCTATGGGGTCTCCATGGCCCCATCCACCCTGCCCCCTCCTGATTCTATCCTGATCCCTTCCCACTAGACCTTTGAGGTCTTCCTCTCTCCAGACATCCCCCATCCCCTCCTCCAGCCTTTATTTTTCTCCCCCACTCTTTTCCCTCAGAACCCTGTGTCGAGGGGAATATTCAATCCTACATCGCCTCAAAGCAGCCAGTGAGTTCTGGGGGCTGGAGGTTCAAGCCCTGGACCCCTTGGGAGGGGGAGATGGGGGACCTGGAGACCCAGGTGGGGGAAGGAGTCTATTATTTCTGTGTGCTTCTGGGGCTGCTGCCCTGAGACCACAGATGGTCTTTCCCTGGAGGGAGAAGTGTATAGACTGGGTTCTGAAGCGAGGAGGTGGATGGGCCAGGGCTCCATATGCACATGGAGGGCACCTGTCATCTCACCCCCCTCCCCCGATCTCTCTCACTTTCAGTGGGGACAGCGTGGCGGGACTATATATCTATCTGTGGGCTCCGCACACACGGAGAGCTGTGTGGGCACCCAGTCTCAGAGCTCATCTACATCCACAGCAAGATGCTCATTGCTGACGATCGCACAGTCATCATCGGTCAGTGCTGGGTCTGAGTCCCTGGCAGCAAGAGCGGGTGGGAGAGGCGTGAAGGGCAACAGGGTGAAGGGAGGCCCAGTTGGGGATGGAGGCCAAAGAAGGCGTGTTGCCCACAGGCATGTGCTCTGGTAGAGGTGATGGGGTGAAGGGGGTCACCCTGGGTTCAGACAGGCACAATGTGTCCTGCGCCCACCCCAGGCTCTGCGAACATCAATGACCGGAGCCTGCTAGGGAAGCGGGACAGCGAGCTGGCCGTGCTGATTGAGGACACGGAGATGGAGCCGTCCCTCATGGATGGTGTGGAGTACCAGGCGGGCAGGTTTGCCTTGAGCTTGCGGAAGCACTGCTTCAGGTAGAGCCTGGGTGGGCCTTACGGGGTGTGGCAGCGGGGGGAGGAGGATCTACCTTTTGAGGAGGTGGGAGGATTGCTTAGACATACTACTGGGTTTCCCAATAGGCAAACTAATCAAATTTGGGGTGCCAGCAAAGTAGGGGCACCAAAAAATGAGAAAAAATACTTTAAAACTAATTTGGTATTTTTTCAAAACATTGTAGTCACCAAAGTAGAGACACATGAAGGCTCGTTGATACTATTTTACTGTTTAGCATTGCATCCACTTTGGATGACCTGGGTAGGCACAGCATGACTTTCCTGGTATTCAGGCTCTCTGAGGATCCTAACCTGGTCCTGCTGGGACCCCTTTCTCATGCAGCGTGATTCTCGGGGCGGATGCCCGGCCAGACTTGGATCTCCGAGACCCTGTCTGTGACGACTTCTTCCAGTTGTGGCAAGACACAGCTGAGAGCAATGCCAATATTTATGAGCAGGTGGGAGCTTCGGGAGTGGACCAGGGTGTGTGTGTGTGGGGGGGGGGGGGATGGGGGGTTCATGGATTACCCTGTTCAGAGTGGGATGGAGAGAAGCCCCACCACACAGCCATTCTCAGAAGGTGCATGAGACTCTGGGGGAATATCATGGGATTCAGTGGCTCAGGGCTGGTATGGGGATGTGGGCTTCCAGCTTAGTTGAGCTTGGGCTCTTGACAAAGTCTTCCCAAGTCTTATTGGCTTCTCTGCCCCCCACCCCAGATCTTCCGCTGCCTGCCATCCAATGCCACACGTTCACTGCGGACACTCCGGGAGTACGTGGGTGTGGAGCCCCTAGCCATCGTCAGCCCTCCCTTGGCCCGGTCTGAGCTCACCCAGGTCAAGGGCCATCTGGTCCACTTTCCCCTCAAGTTCCTGGAAGATGAGTCTTTGTTGCCCCCACTGAGTAGCAAGGAAGGTGTGATGCCCCTAGAAGTGTGGACATAGCTGGGGCTCCAGCCAGAAGAGGTCACCAGCTCCACCAGGTCTGGCTCCCTGCCCCGGAGGACTGAGGGCAGTGCCCTTTGAGACCCGTGGGAGCAGCATCTCTGAAAGGGATGAGAGAACGGACAGAGGACCCTTTCTTGAGAATCAGCCAAAGAGGGCATTCCCAGCCCTGGGGTTGGGTGGCAGGAGAGGGTCCCAGAAAAGTTCACCTTCCTTCCAGCCCAATTCAAACCACTGCTACAGAGGAGACGGGAAACTCCTGCCAGGATGCCTGGGGCAAGCCTTCCCCTCTCTCCCTTCCTCTGCCCCAGGGCCTCTCCCAGCCCATGGCTGCCAAGGTGGAGAGAAGGATGGAGCCACTCCTGGCTTCAGCCCCCACAATGGGGAGGGTAGGAGCTGCACACTGACTCCCTCCAGCATCCTGCTGCCAGACACTAACTTTGTATCAGTTCAATAAGCGTTTCATAAATAAATGCATAGGAAAAATCCATGCCTCTTCCTCAGTCGGAGTGAGTACTGTCTCAGTCACCCTCCCTGCCTACACAAAGCACCGGTTTCTTCACCCTGCCACCCCACTCCTTTCTTCCTCCTGCTGTCTCCATTTCCACTGTACTTGTCTGTGGCTTTGGGAGCTCGGTTTCCTAGGTGCTGGGGAAGGTCACACGGCTGCCTGGGGCAGAAGGAAAGCAGGATTACCTGGAGAACATTGGAGCTGGTGTTGCAGTTGCACGTGAGGGAGATGCACAGAGAAGGGCCTGGAGGAGCTGCCTCCTGTTCCTCAAGTGACAGCATAGGGAGAGGCTCAGGGAAGCCCCTTTCCAAGTGGTTAAGGGTATAGGCTTTAGGTCAGGAAGAGCAGGGCCGAGATCCTGGAGTGATCACTTATTACCAGGTGCCTTCTCAAGTCACATCACTCTGGGCCTCAGTGATCCCAACTGGGAAATAAAGATGTAATACGCAAATGGTTGTTACGTCGTGAAGCAACGAGCGACCAGGTAATGACTGGATCACGGATCAGCAGGAGGGTGGGGCAGTGAGCTACAAGCAGGTGGTGGAAAGCTACAGGAGGGCAGCAGTGAGCTGGCAAGCTACTGGTGCACGGATTTGTGCACAGGGCTACTAGTGCTTACATAACTGGCTTGCTGCAAAGATTCAGTCGTTGACTTAGTTACTGAGCACTTGCTATTTCCCAGGCACAGTTCTAGACTTACAGAAGTGAGCATAACAAAGCCCTCATCCTTGTGGGGCACTTGGGCACATACAGACTGTTCTGAAGCTTCACTGTCCAGTACAGTAGCCATGAGCCACTTTTTTCAGTTTATATTGAAATTAATTAAAATTAGAAATAATTAAACATTTAGTTTATCACTTGCACAGCCCACATTTCAAGTGCTCAATTGTTGCTAGTGGCTAGCATATTGGACAGTGCAGGTATTTCCGTCATTGCACAAGGTCCTACTGGATGTCGCTGCTCCAGAGGAAGGAAGAGAGAAAATAAATGGTATAGTTTATGAGAGAGTATAGCACACACCAGCTTGAGAAGGATTATCTCCCAGGTGTGGAGAAAAAGGGATAATGGGTATGCAGAGAGCCCTCCAAATGAATCAGTGACTTATTATTTTTTAAAATATGTTTTTAATGATTTCAGAGAGGAAGGGAGAGGGAGAGAGCCATAGCTACATCAGTGGTGAGAGAGAATCATTAATTGGCTGCCTCCTACTGGGGATTGAGCCTGAAACCCGGGCATGTGCCCTCATAGAGGAGAATCAAACAAACCATGACCTTCTGGTTCATAGGTCGATGCTCCACCACTGAACCACACTGGCCAGACAGTGACTTTTCTTAAGCTGGGTGGTGGGAGTATGAATTTTTATTACATATATTCATACTTTTTATGTAAATATGAAATATTTTGCCATTAGAAAATAGTTGAGCAAAGGTCCTGGCTCTTGTACTTCATTCCCCCCAAGCCTCACTCCACAGTCTCAGAATGGACCACAAGGGAGTAGAGTGAGGAGTGTGCTGTGGATAACGATGTGGCAAGAGGAAATGCTGTTGTCTGTTCCCATCTTTTCAATCCAGTCCTCCCTCCGAAGAAGGCATTTCCACACATGAAACCCCCTCCCACACTTAGCGGTCCCCTGGCACTAATTGATATTCTGCTAATTAGCCTCATTGTCAGCACTAAGTGCCTCTTTCCCTAGGAGACCATTACCTCGTTAACTGTGGAGTGGGTGGAGACAGCAGCTGCCTGGGGCTGGGCCGGGGCTGGGCACCGTGGCTTTCTGCTTCACATTGTCTGTTGGTGTATCTTCCCACAATCGCGCCCCCGCCCCTCCCCCAAACATTTGTTCTGGAGTTTCTTGAATGGAGGCCACCAAGTACAGGGAAAAGAGTAGTGAGCTCGGAAGTGGAAGAGTTGGCTCTAAGGAGACCAGCAATTTTCAACCTTTTTTTTTTAATCTCATGGCACACATAATTACTAAAATTCTGTGGCACACCAAAAAATATATTTTTGCTGATCTGACAAAAATAAGTATATATTTTTTCTTTCTTAAAAAAAAATTTATTGTTTAAAGTATTACATATATCTCCTTTCTCTCCATTGACCTCTCCCCAGCCATTCCCACCCCCCAGCACATGCCCTCACCCCCCTGCTGTCTGTGTCCATGGGTTATGCTTATATGCATGCATGCAAGTCCTTTGATCTCTTAACCCCGCCTTCCCTCTGAGGTTGGATGGTCTGTTCGATGCTTCTATTCTCTGGATCTATTTTTTTTTCATCAGTTTATGTTGTTCATTATATTCCACAGATGAGAGAGATCATATCTTTCCCCAACTGGCTTATTTTGCTTAGCATAACGCTCTTCAGGTCCATCCATGCAAAAGGTAAAAGTTCCTTCTCTTTTACAGCAGCGTAAGTTCCATTGTGTAGATGTACCACAGTTTTCTAACCCACTCATCTGCTGATGGGCACGTAGGCTGTTTCCAAATCTTAGCTATGGTAAATTGTGCTGCTATGAACATAGGGGTGCATATGTCCTTTCTGACTGGTATTTCTGTTTTCTTGGACTATATTCCTAGAAGTGGGATCACTGGGTCAAATGGGAGTTCCATTTTTCATTTTTTGAGGAAACTCCATACTGTTCCCTCCACAGTGGCTGCACCAGTCTGCACTCCTACCAGCAGTGCACGGGGGTTCCTTTTTCTCCACATCCTCACCAAGGTATAATTTTTATTCATTTACACCAGACAGCTATTGTTCTGGTGGCTGTTGTCTTTTTTTTTTTTTTTTTTTTACAATCTAGGGAAAAGAGGTTAGTGCTCCTATAGGGTGGTGAAAGCCTGAGGTGGGGGTGGGGGCGGGCTAGAGGAGGTCAATGGGGGGGGGGGGAAGGAACATCTGTAATACTTTCAACAATAAAGATTAAAAAAAAAAAAGAGGTCAGTGCCCCTGACTAAATAGGTGTTGCATGTTTTAAAAATTCTTGCAGCACACCAGTGTGCCGGGGCACACCAGTTGAAAATTGCTGCTCAGCCCTGGCCAGGTAGCTCAGTTGGTTGGAGCATCTTCCCCACACGCCAAGGTTGTAGGTTCCATCCCCGGTTAGGGCACATACAGGAAGCAACTGATGAGTGGATAAATATGTGGCACAACAAATCAATGTTTCCCTCTCTGTCTCCCTCAAAATCAATATTTAAAATTACAAAGAAAATTGTTGCTCTAGACCAGCGGTTCTCAACCTGTGGGTCGTGACCCCTTTGGGGGTCGAATGACCCTTTCACAGAGGTCGCCTAAATACATCCTGCATATCAGATATTTACATGACGATTCATAACAGTAGCAACATGACAGTTATGAAGTAGCAACGAAAATAATTTTATGGTTGGGGGTCACCACAACATGAGGAACTGTATTAAAGGGTCGCGGCATTAGAAAGGTTGAGAACCACTGCTCTAGACCCAGGCAGAGGAAAATAAATTCAACCTCCCAAGGTGGTGGGAGACACTGAGGGCCACTGGGCCTGTGGAAAATGTTCACTCATCGCCCCGGAGTACTATAATTTGTCTTATTTTTAATATATTAACTTTCTTCATACCTGACCCAGGACTTCCTCCATCCACCTCATTGTCTCTCATTAAGTTTTTGTTTTTATTTTTAAATATGTTTTATTGATTTTTTACAGAGAGGAAGGGAGAGGGATAGAGAGTTAGAAACATCGATGAGAGAGAAACATCGATCAGCTGCCTTCTGCACACCCCCAACTGGGGATTTGCCTGCAACCAAGGTACATGCCCTTGACCGGAATCGAACCTGGGACCTTTTAGTCTGTAGGCCGACGCTCTATCCACTGAGCCAAACCAGTTAGGGCATCTCATTAAGTTTTTATTAAGGACACATTTCACATACATATACAGGAGTGGTCAGAAGTAGGTTAATAATAATACAATAATTAATATCAGAATAAACTGTTTCACTTACAATTGTAAACCTACTTTTGCCAACCCTATATATATATAAGTAGGGAATAGGATAATGAACCCTCACATATCTGGGAATCCATATTCTGGCTTTGATAATTATTAGCACTGGACCAATTTTGTTTCCCTCTCCTTCTCTAACCTCCAGAGTAATTGTCTCTTGAGGTTTGAATGGCCATTTATCCTATCCCTGTGATCTTAATTTGCTCATTCAACGATTCCATATCTCTTCATTAAACACTGCCTATGAGTCAGGCATTAGTAAGTTTATTGAAAACCTAGTATATGCCAAGTGCTTTACATACCATTTTATTTTATATTACCCTCCCTGTTATTATCTCTATTTTACAGATGATAGAAGTGAGCCTCAGATATTTAATGACTTGTTCAAAGCACTAACTTTAAATTCTATGTTTTTTCCTACGACCCAATGGCCTTGACCTTGAATTACTATATATCACTGTGCTTCCCAGACAACAGAGTCCTCATGCCTTCATTCACTTACGTGTTACTGAACCTCCAAGTGTGGGTCCCAGGCCCTGTGTTGAACACAACTGACACAATCCCTCCTGTAAGGAGATTCAACAGGCATTTATAATTCAAAGCGTTAAATGTTACCATGGTTTTAAGCCAGGTAAAAACTCAATCTTAGTCAAGGAAGGCTTCATGGAGGAAGTTTAGGACAAAACATGTAGCACAAAACAAAGGGCAGTGGACATGATTAGAATGTTCCAGGGAGAACAGCCGCAGTGCAAAGGCAGGAGGAGGGTCTGTTGAATTCTGTGATTTTAGCATGGCTAGAATATGTAGAGTTGAACGGTGGAATAATGGAAAACAAGGCAGGAGAAGCAGGCGGAATCTTGAAGGGTCTTTGATGCCAAACTTTAGACTTTACTCAAAAGACAGTGGGGGTGCCCAGCTGGTGTGGCTCAGTGGTTGAGCATGAACCTATGAATCGGGAGGTCAGAGTTTGATTCCCAGTCAGGGTACATGTAGGGTTGAGGGC